TTCCACGACAATTTAAATAATGAGTTACTTAATGCACAAAGGCAGAACATACCATACAAAAAACTGAGATCAGACAACAATGACCCTAAATGGATAAATAATTATTTAAAGAACATCATTGGCCAAAGGAAGGCTATAGGTAGAAGGATAAAGCGTGGCGAAATTTACCTCCAGGATTATTATAAGATATTGGCGAGTAGGGTTAAAACCGAGATAAGGAAAGCCAAGAGGAATAATGAGGTAAGGATAGCAAGAGAGGCGAAGACAAACCCCAAAGGATTCTACCAAATGTATCAAACTAAAACACGAGAAAAGATTGGACCAATACGGTCAGATACCGGCGAGCTCACTGATAACGACAGAGAAATGAGCAATTATTTGAATGAATATTTTTCAACTGTTTTCACCACTGAAAATTTAAACATGATACCCGAGGCACCGACTCTATTCAGAGATAGTGAAGAAAACAAATTAAGCGAGATAGTAGTGACTAGTAACGATGTTAGTAAGCAAATAGACAAACTAAAGCCTAATAAGTCACCTGGTCCCGATGAGATATTTGCCAGAGTATTAAAGGAATGTAAGGAAGAGCTTAGTATGCCCTTTGCAAAGTTGTTTAACATGTCCTTAAAAACAGGTGTAGTACCAGAATCCTGGCGGATAGCGAATGTAATACCGATTTTCAAGAAGGGGGATAGATCACTATCCTCTAACTACCGCCCAATCAGTCTAACATCAATAGTAGGCAAATTACTGGAAGCAATCATTTCAAACTCGATACGAAATCACCTGGAGAAGCACCTATTGATCAATGATTCCCAGCATGGCTTCACAAGCAGACGTTCTTGTCTAACTAATCTATTCTTTTCATCAGTTTTCGAATCGGTGGACGAGGGGCACAATTATGATGTGGTATATCTCGACTTCAGCAAAGCCTTCGACAGAGTCTCCCACGAAAGACTAATTAGGAAGGTAGAAGCACATGGCATCAAAGGTAGCATCCTTAAATGGATTAGGGCGTGGTTACAGGACAGGAAACAGCGAGTGAGCATTAACAGGACTAAGTCCCATTGGAGCAACGTCACAAGTGGAGTTCCCCAAGGCTCAGTACTTGGACCATTATTATTTATTATATACATAAACGACATAGATATCGGCATAGACAGCAACATAAGTAAATTTGCTGATGACACTAAAATAGGAGGTGTTATTAAATCTGACGAGGACTCGGCAAAACTACAGGAAGATCTAAACCAATTTTTCGAATGGTCTGAAAAATGGCAGATGAAATTCAACGTGGACAAATGTAAAGTACTCAGTATAGGAGATGTAAACAGGGAAACCAGTTACCAGATGAACAACGATGCCATAGAGAAATCCGACTGCGAGAGAGATTTAGGAGTAATGATAAGTAGGAACCTCAAGCCAAGTAAACAATGTGTTTTTGCTCGTAACAAGGCTAATAAAGTACTTGGGTTCATACAAAGGAGTGTTAGTTACAAGACTAGCGAGGTCATCCTAAAACTGTATCTTGCGCTTGTGAGACCACACCTGGATTACGCAGTTCAGTTCTGGTCACCGTATTACAGGATGGATATAGAATCGTTGGAAAGAATTCAGAGGAGAATGACAAGACTAATCCCGGGCATTAGGAACCTTGAGTATAGAGACAGGTTAAAGCATCTTAATTTGCACTCCCTCGAGAGACGTAGAGCGAGGGGCGACCTGATGGAGGTGTATAAGTGGAAGTCAGGGCTAAACAAAGGGGACATTACAAAGGTACTCAAACTATCCAACCAGGAGCGAACTCGTAACAATGGTTTTAAATTAGACAAATTTAGATTTAGGCGTGAAATAGGTAAACATTGGTTTGGAAATAGAATAGTGGACGAGTGGAACAAGTTAACCAAACATCATAATTAACTCGAATACTCTGAATAGCTTCAAACATAGGTTGGATGCTTATATGATCAATAGGGGTTGGGTGTAAATGGGACTGCCCAGTATGGGCCAATAGGCCGGCTGCAGTTTCCTCCATTCTTATGTACTTATGTACTTACTCCCTTAAATGCACGAGTCGACTCGGCAAGCATGAACTTTGCGTGCTTCCCTGTTGGGAGCTGTAAACGCTTTTTGCCCTACGCCTTGCACAGGGTGCAGGGGAGTGCCCAATAAACTACTGTAGCTCCTTCGCGGGACAAATTATATATTATTATCCATCCTTACCGGACTGCGGGCCGCCGCTCCGTCCGGCCCACCCCACCATCACACTAAGTATGATATTAAAATGTAGGTTTGATTTCACTCATGTATTGATGAATCTGTGCTAGAAAACATGGAAGGTATAATTTTAATTTTTTTTAATACAATTGAAACTTTACTTTTACTTATATCCTCTTCACCACTGATCGGCTTGTTAGCCGCTTGGACGATCGGTTACATCTCTGTCACGCACTGTTGGCAAATACTGGGCATGCACCGGCTCCTGAATGTACTTGAACCTGCTCCAGTGTTGGTCAAGTCTGGTCTTGAAAGAACTCACACTCGGTGCCGTCACAACACTTTCTGGCAGATTGTTCCAAGAGTTCACAACTCTCACTGCGAAAAAGTTTTCCCTCGCAGTTTTCTGGACTTGCGGCTTCTTCAATCTTGAGCTGTGACCCCTTGTGGGGCGAGTGTCCGCCAGCTCCAAGTAAGGACACTCGATTGAGTAGTGCCCCTTGAGATGCTTATACACCTCAATTAGGTCGCCCCTTGCCCGTTTGTAATATAAGCTAGGCACGGTCCGACCAATTACCCAAATGTAGCCGCAATGAAGTCAAATAATGGTCCTACATGAATAAATCGGACTGCCAACCATTTCTCGACGAATATTTGGTGTCACAAAATCACAAAAAATTGGAAACTTAATTTAAACTGAGTTAATAGATCGAATGCTTGTACCGAGGGAGCGAGTAATTACCCAAATGAACCCAAATGTAGTCGCAATGAAGTCAAATGATGGTCCTAGAAGCGCAAATCGGGCTGTGAATCACTTCTCGATTATTATTTGGTGTCATAAAGTCACAAAAAATTGATAGTACTTAATTTAATCTGAGTTGTGTTAGGTTAGGTACATGCACTCTATCTATTAACTCAGATTAAATTAAGTTTACCAATTTTTTGTGACTTCGTGACACCAAATACTAGTCGAAGTTAGGTTGGGTTAGGTTAGGTTATGTTGTTAGGTTAGGTTAGGTTAGGTACATGCACTCGATCTATTAACTCAGATTAAATTAAGTTTTCCAATTTTTTTTTTACTTTGTGACACCAAAATACTAGTCGAGAAGTGATTGGCAGTCCGATTTATTCATGCAGGACCATTATTTGACTTCATTGCGGCTACATTTGGGTAATTAGTCGGACCCGCTAGGTAAGTTCAGGCGCCCCAATCTCTCAGGGTAGCTGAGGTGCCGAAGTGCAGGTACCAGTCTGGTGGACCTCCTTTGAACATTTTCAACCAACTGACAGTCCCTAGCATATCTCGGGGACCAGACGGAGTGACAGTACTCCAGATGGCCCGAAAACTTCATTGTCAACATACACACGTAGGTCCCCTCTCACATTCATTCTCAAATAGTGCAGTTTCTTCACCCCGTTGGGACATATGATACTCCTTACTGTTGGTACGCCCCAGATGCATCCTCTTACACTTCGTGACATTGAATCTCAGCAGCCACTTCTTAATCTGTTCCTTGTCATAAGTTTTGAATATGGTACTAATGTAAACTGATTTTTTTCCCTTGAAAAACAACTTACCGTACAGGTGGAAAGCAGATTTATCGACCTGATATTTCTGTTGTAAATACAAAATGGGGTGAATTAATTAAGTTTGAAGGTTTTTCATGAAAAAAATACTGTAATGATACTTTCTAACTTGCTTAAAATAGGTGTACTGAGTTAAAGATAATTCTCGTGCAACCTTGATTTTTGAACTGTTAAAATCATCATTTATCATTACATGGTAGTGTTTGATCATGTTTTAATGAGGTATGTTTGGTCGGGCAATGCTCAAACACTTTAAATTAATTAAAACGTGTAATCAACCTAACTATCCAGTAGTGACCTTACTAAATATCACAGGTTTTCCGGGCTCCGGTTTCCTCCTGTACTAATACTGGATAGAACAACCACCCTAACGGCTAAGTAAGTCGTTAAGTACTGAAATTTATAAAAACATAGTGTGGGGTATGGGATGTTTGGGTTCGCACTCAGGATGGGATGGAGAAAGGAAACTCACAATGTACTCTCTGTATACATGTTGTATTGGATGTACAATGCAGCTTGGTGCTGGGAAGTGGCAGCGTGGTTACAAGCGTGATGTAGAGAGAGCTGGTTGGTGAGGACGCTCGGAGGAGGGCAGCTTGTGGGTCGCCATGCTCGCCGGCGGGAGCGAGGGCCGCCAGGCAGTGTAGCTTGCTGCGGCTGTAGCTAGAAGAAGAGAGTTGGTTGGTGAGGATGCTCAGAGGAGGACCAGCTTGTGGGTCACCATGCTTTCCGGCGGGAGCGAGGACCGCCAGGCAGGCGGAGGAGGAGGAGGAGGTGTTGCTGGCTGGTTGGTGTAGGTAGAAAAGAGGCAGGTCACCACGAGGTCAGGTCTTAAATAGCGGAGGTAGGCGTGGCTTAGTAGTTGACCTTCGTCATGTAAGGCGGCGCTGGTTGACCTAGACCACGAGGGACAAACAGCGTTTGTAGGTGAGAAATCCACTATAATAGCACCAATGCCATTCTGTTCCCGTGTCACTTATCCTCTCCTCCTCTGGTGAGCAAACTTTGCCAGTCACACCTGAATTCCATTGTCAATTTGTATTGTTTATGTACATGCTAAAACAATGTGAACTTCGACAATTTGATGAACATCTATCAATCTGCGATGTCTCATACCTTAGTCTATTAAATCCGTGGTATTATAAGTAACATGAACCATCCTCCTCACCAATCCGGATGGGGTGTGCCTGTGGTAGTCGTTCGTGCAGGTGATGGTGACCGCGGCGGCGCGTCCAACACGTGCGCTTGAGGACACTCATTTGTGCGGCGCGGTGTAAACACATACAGTTTAAGGCTTTTAAAAGAAGGAGAAGGAATCACTTTGGGTGGTCACCGCAGGTCTTTTATGAAGGTCAGTTGATACTACTCTTATTATTGAACAGTACTGTGAATTTTGTACAGAGTCAGAGGTGTTAAGTAGTGTAATTATTCTTCTCACTGCCTCTCGTTGTTGATCATTTATCCATGATGTTGGTGGCCAGACGTTCATCTTCTTTTATCACAACATGATGAACTGTGAGGCAAACATTCTTTTTTTCAGAAATTAAACTAACCGGCGCCGCGTCGTCACTTAAATTTTTGAACTGGAATTTAGCGTAAGGGTTAATTATGTAGTCGCCAGGATTCCTGATATGTGCTGCCATCTGCTGATATTCCTGGTGACTGCTGCTTGTTGCTCATTTTGAGATTCATTTTGCATTTCGTAATTCCAGAGGAGTTTTACCAGGTTATGATTAAATTTTTATAAGAAACTTGTCATAAAAGAAGTCGTTCAGAATTGTATTGGAGACAAAATATGTTATAAGTTATAAATCAAGTAAAAGTGAATGGTATTTGTTCAGAACAGGGCATCACTGAACTATTGTTTGGGATTTTATTTGGCAATATAATAGTCTGTGGGAGAGTTGTACCTCATCTAGCCATTTTTTCTGTAGATGAAAAGAGGGTAATTATTCTTTTTCACCCATTTCCCCTTTTGATATGAATAATTGTTTTTCTGGTATATTTTGGTGTGTTTTAGTCATATAAACTTTATTTCTTGTGCAAATGAGCCTTTTTTGTTATTTAGGAAATCGACCAAACCTTACCTTGCTTCCTAGCAGTGCCCTACGGACCCCCGCCATATTATAAACAGAAAGTAATTATTTTTATATCTGGTACCAATAAAAGCAGCTTTCATGAAGTGTCATGGTGTAAGTTTATGTTTTATGTGAAGGTGTGGACATGAGAATACCATGGACCGAGCAGGTCTATTTGTAAACAAAGAAGGCAAATGACAACACACACCGACAAGAGCAAATACTATCTAACCTAACCTAATGTTTGAGGGTAATTATATTAAAAACTTAGCATTTGCACAAGAAACATTACTCTTAAATATTGATTTATAATTTAAAAAAAACTTAAAGGGTAATCACAAACACTAAAAGAGGAATGGGTGAAAGACAAATATTAACCAAAAAGAGTTTTGTTCCCTTGAGAATAACACTCTTAAATTTACTTATGGTGAGGAAAGTAGACCACTGTGACATGTTTCAACAGCCACTGTGCATTTTATGAAAGTATTTTTGGTAAATTTATGATAGTAGCCAGGTTTTAATTTTTCCATAAAAAATATGTTATTCCTGTGGCTCTTGTTGTAATTCGAACGAATCCGACCTTAATTTCTAGTGCTAACCAACCTAACATAACTGAAACCTGGCTACTATCCTAAATTGACCATATTTTTTTTTTTTTACATGATGAGATTTGATGATTTATGATAAAATACAGCATATGCATAGATATCTTTGGAATGGGCCATTCTTGACATTTTACCTTAAGTGATGCAACCCATCATATTTTTAATTTAATAAAAATGAAAGAATCCTGACATTCCATTTTGTTGCAGAGACACATGAATGTCTACAAAGAGTCCAAGGTTTAACCTTAGACATCATGGACTAATTCATGAATGAGTTAAATTTTAGTGTAACAACCAAGTCCCAAGAGAGGGTGATAGGAAAGTTAGTGATTGCAACTCTTATGTTAGAGTTGGGCAGCATCTTCCTGAAATTATTATACAGTATGTAGTTTTGAAACTAATAAATCTGAAGGTGGAATTGTAGAATAAAGTGTTAACTCCCTCTGAAGCTAACACTATGTCTAAGGTAGTGGAGAAACATAACACAGTTGCTTAAAGACTTGCAAAACTGGATTTACTCATTTATATTGGTGCATTAAACCAAGGATGAGATTTCCACTCCTCAGAAAACTTATATTTTGAATACTGTAGCATCTATTACTGATGTACTATGTACAGTCAGCAAAAAACTATTCTGCACCCCTGGGTGCGATGGCTCTCGCAATGAACAGTGCGAGACTGACACCATGTATTGGTAAGGTTGGTACCTCTGATTGTATGATTCATTGTAAAACTAATGTGCTGTTATTCCTTATATCATGCGTAGTAACCACAGAGAAATTATCAGGAATACATATAAAGCCATGGCACTTAAACCAGGTAATGTCATGGCATTATATACGGTAGGAATGGCAGGTACTCTAGAAACTGAGGTGCTGTATAGGAATTTTGCATACTATGAGATAAAACGAAATTGTGTAAATACTCATGATTATAACCACGATCTGAGAAAGTGATGAGACGTAGCATAATACAAGACCTCAACCAGAAAAAAATACAAAACATTTGTAACGTAGGAAAGTTATACAATATTATGCAGAGGTAACTGAGCTACTGGAAAGATGTGAGTTAAGAAACGAGCTACAGTATATCTCTCTAATGTCACAATATATGATAAAAATAGGGGCTTAACCGGAGGAAACTGGTAGTAAAATTCACAAAGCAAAAACATTGTCAGTGTTATGTAACACAGTGTAGCAAAGGATTTCGCCAGAGGAAGTGTGATCGTTTAAAAGAATGTAATGAATCTGTTCGAAACGGAGCAGTTTCGATCTGCAAAGAGCAGACCATCAGAGCAAACAGAAGTTGTAATGGCAATTGCTTTGGATATTAATTTGATTATTTTATAGATATAGTTATATGATGTTAACTGCTCTATTCTCATCTTGTAACACATTGTACATGCAGACACACTGAAACACCTTATGGTAAATACTATCTACAGGCTAACTGGCAACTCAGGAAGCCAGGGCTACCAACGTCTGCTTTGACTCCTGAGTGTTTTCAGAATTCTTGGTCCGGTGTGTCATACTGTAGGAACCCGTAAAGGTGCAGAATAATATTTTGCTGGCTGTACATGCAGTATACTGTATAATGTATTTGATACACTTACAGTACATAAAATTTATATATTGAAATTTTTCCTTGGATTTCCTTGAGCCTCCTGCAAGATACATTTAAAAATTATTAAATAATGCATTAATTTTTCAGTCGCTTGAGCAAGGAACCGAATTAACAGAAAAAAACAAAGCCATGGCAGATCAAGAGGTGATGGATGTTACCTCAGATGCCAATGGTACATCACCCAAGGTAGAAAGCAAAGATGGAAGGACTCCAGCTAAGGGAGGAAGATTTGGGTCCAGGGGAGGACGAGGTGGTCCCAGAGGAAGACTTGCCTTTAGGGGCAGAGCAGATGCAGATGATCAGGTGAGTGAAGAATGGAAGATTGCTACTAGTGAGGCCAAGTGATGGTGAAAGGTGGGAGAGTCTGCATAAATATTTTGATTCGAATGACGTTCAAAGATCTTTAAAGGTAAAGTTGATGGAAAGAGTCATAAATGTCTGTGTTATGTAGTGATGCAGTGAGTCGTGAGTTATAACCCAACTCTCACATTTTCTCTAGTGAATCAGTTATTACATGTTTCTCCAATTCCTTAAATTATCTTATCCTCTCTCTATGCTCTCTTTGCCCTCTGAGTGAGGGGAGTGAACTGACTGCAGGCAGCACCTGACCCCTCACACTTCCTGCATCCTCCACCTCTTTACCCACTGTATAAATATTAATGTTAGTAACGAAAAGATAAAAGAATAAAGAATTAGGATATAAGAAACAAGGTAAGAGAAGTAAAGAAACAAGGAAGAAAGAATATTAAAAAAAGAAAAAATACTGTAGAATAAATAGAAATTATAAGTTTAAATGGAGACCTTTGTTACACTGCACTCGTACTATCATGTGGGCGCTTTCCAGTTATTTTGCAACACAGCTTAGGGCGATTTACAAAAGAAACTTTGGAGATGATGCATAAAGGGAAGCTCACTGTAGCGATCTTACAAAGTGGCACCTTACGGGATGCTTCTCACAGCCGCCTTAAACCTACAGTACTTTGCAGGTCTCTTCCACACTACTGGACTTCCATAACCCAGAAATAGACTAAGGTGATAGTATCCATGAAATTGGAAATATGTAACCCACGGAGTGTCTGTATAGAAATACAGTACAGGGGGTTCCCGCCGATATGAACAGGATTCAACTTTAATTTACAGTATTTTATTTACCTAATGACTTAATTTTTCTTTCAATTACTGTATTTTGTTATTCTGTTTCTTCTTTTCTCTTAAATTAAGTGATTTTAGAACGTCCTCAGAAACTGAACCCGTTCGTAACCCGGACTAATTAGAACAAACTCCAGTTCGGCAAAGGCGAAATTCTGAAAAGGGCAATTCTATTGGGTGGGGGGGGGGGGGCTGCTGCTGCTTATCTGGATCTCTGGATTGTTTCAGAAATCAGACATAGTCTGGTTGTTGACAACTGTTTTCACTGATGTGACGGTTTCATACTGTAAAACGTTAAATGTAAGTACGGTACTGGTAGCCACAGATTTGTGGAAAAGTAATTTCTAAGTACTCGTGTGCCTAATGAATAAAGAAAAACTGAAAGATGAGAGTGTATTTGTTGCATCAGGCGGGAGGTAGTGTGGGTGGGTGTCTCCCTCCCCCAGGACCCCTTTGACAGGTTTTTATGCAATTTCATCAAAATTTTCATTATTTAGGTTCATTTGGTGTTATCATTAACCTAAGATGAGTCACTGCTTCGTATTAAATTCCCAGTCCTTTGATTATTTCCATGAATGAATATAGCTGTGATCTCACAGCACAGTGAAAGATTTACATTTAACGGAATACAGTACTGTACTCAGTTCTTCCATTAATAACCTGTTTGTGTTCATATATTCAACAGATATATAATTATTTTTCATTAATATTGCTTTCCAAAACAGAGAGAAAAGGACCCTTGTGGTGTGTTCCTGTTCTTCCCTAATGTCATCACTGCAGACACAGCTGCAGAATTGCTGAGAGTTGGAAAATCTGCCACTGAGATGAGATTAGGAAAGTAAGTTTATCAGTAATGAGTATGATACTGTATTAAGGTCTCATAACTAAGATAACTTATTTTTATTGGTGAATGGAAAATATAATTGCACCCTTAGAGATGCATCTGCCAACCCACATGGCTAGTGGGAGGAACTTAGTTGGTCGATAGAGCCGGTTCACTGTTCCCGTGTTTCTGCTTATGGGAAGTGCACTTAGCGATGCACTTTGCGTCGAAAAACCACGAGAGAGTTCATAAGCGAAAGGCCAACCTCAGTGCTAACATGATCAAACTACCGACTTTGGCTACAGTTGTCTTATCTGCAGCATCTGAAAGTCGTCCCGAGACTCTTGAATGCAAGTTATCCCCAGGTCTCTTGTGCCTTTGCCTTGGCTTCTTGGCCACCTTATTTTGGTCACATTTGAGGGGCACGTCTGTCTTACACTCTCACTGTGTGTCAATGAATTTGCTTTGCTGTGGAGCCTTCATTTAAAAGGAATTTTATGGTATTCCAATCATCAATTTTGCCAAAATTTATGAAATTATCAATTGTCATTCTTTGAAACTGACTGTAAAATGATGATGGTGATGACATTACAGATATTAACAGAAACACATTCCCAAGAATTCAACATTCTTACCAAAAAACCGCTTGCTTGCTGTATTGTTTTATACAAATACTTATGTTAAAACATTTTGACTACCACTTTTACAAAGGAAATAATTCACCTGGTCAGAACAATGTAAAAGGAGTAAAAGCTTACAGGCATGACTAAAATTGTCATGGTTCTTTATACATGTACTGTACTGTACTTGTCAAATGGAAACAATATAAACAACAAACAACCACCATACACTACCTATCTTATCCACAAATTCTTGTGAGGTTATGATAGATTGATTTTGGATTGGTTGTTTTGTTTTCTAGTAGATGGTGTATGCTCACTTTGTTTACAGGACCCAAGCTCCTTGTTTTTCTAGATTTGCCTTCTGTTTCTGGCTTTGATGAATTGTTTTTCTTTGTAATACTGTACAGTAACAAATACCATTTGCAAATTTTGTAAAAAAAAATTACTTAGTACTGTAACTGAATATGTGTGAGTATATGTGACAAAGATTAGTAGCACAGGTTCAGCATTGATAACTGATATAGTAAAGGAGTGTGCAAGGATGTACTGTATACAGGTATGTAAATAATTTGTAGAAAATTTTAAATAAATATATTTGTCATTTTGTCTGACTAGTTAATACTGTATGTATTATTTATGTGTTTTTTGCAGTAATGGGCTTTTCACTTGGTTCTGAAATGGCCTAATGAGCAACTGAGTTAAGCTCAAATACTTTTATGAATTTTAGATAGAAGATAATAGAAAATCAAGAAAGTTGTGCATTAATACTGTATACATTTTTCAGGATGTGCTATATGAATTTTGCAACAGAAGATGAAGCTACAGAGAAGAAAAAAGAATTATCAGAAACCGATTTTGATGGAGTGAAGCCACATGTTGACTCTGCCTTTAAGCAACGGTATGTGGACACGTAACCACTGTGTATCGGCCACTTCCATAGACCAGTTTGACAGTGTGGTTTCCAATTTCTGTCGTGCATTTATGAATAATAATTTCTATGTTTATTAGATATTACAGTTTGAAAATTCACCAAGAGTAAAAAAAGAACAACTTATGGAGGGAAAGGGTATTTAGTGTGTACATGTAGGTTTAGAATAATAAAGGTGGCGGGACAGAATGAATGGCAGTAGCTCTTGAGTCTGACCACCCTGCGTCATAGTGGGAAAGGGTTATTGAAACTGGAAGAATTGTACAACCACAAATAAAGACTGAATGAAATCTAAGCAGTTCATAATGATCAGTGTTTGTCTGTACTCGAGACTTGTAAATTTTTCATCACTTGCTGTTTACTCTGGTTGACATTAACACTTGTAGGTTTATTTTGGTTAATATTAGCACCTGTAGGATTACTTTGGTTCGAGGTACAGTATTACCTTTCTATACTGAACTTCTATGCAGTATATTTATTTAACCAAACTTTCAGATAAACTATCCATGATTATTTAGGTAAAAAAAATGTTGTTTCTAACTTAATTATAACTGATTTTATAAACTCTGGTATCAACATTTCTTGTTCTTTTCACAAAAGAATTGAATCCCCATCATTATATCAAATAAAAATATTTGTTTAAGGGTCTTTTATTGAAACAGTCTTGTAGAGAATTTATTGAGGATCATTATGGTACCAAATTCATCTCTATCACAATTAGAACAGATGCTGTTCAAATATCTCGATAGATTCTCTTTTTTTTTTAATGGTAGAATTCCTGGGGTAAAAAATTGAAGTTTGCATAGGAGTGCATGTATTGAAGAGAAAAGTAGAGGATATTTCATTTCATATAAGAGGCAACTTGAAGGGCACGAATTCCTGGTGCAGTGTGGAAAATAAGGGAAGTCATGCTAAGCTTATAGGTAAGGAGTTATAGTTGCTGAAAAACATACATGTAGCAGACTGTGGTCTATACCTTATATAATGAGGGTCTGTCTTGTCATTGGGGTGCGAATAAGGTACATTTTTTATTTAGATAAGGTCAAGTAACTCCCTTGTTTACTGCAAACCTTCTGTATGATATTAGTAAATTGTTGGATGTGATTTAGTGGTCAAGATTAAGGTAATAATAATGATAGTAAAGTTTCAGGGAGCCTGAGAAAGGAGTACTGTACCTGTACTAGATAGAATATCAGGATATGTGTACCTGTACTATGGTGGAGGAGCATACAGCGTAATAGGTTACAATGGTGTGTTCGATTTTGAATGGTACAAGTGAGTGAGAAACATGTAAGATAAAATGTAGGCAAGAAAATTACATGTGGAGGATTGTATAGTTTGCTGTTCAACCCTTGTAACATTCACCATTAAACACTATACTGTAATACAGTGGAAAAAATACATAGGCTATTAATGGACCAAAAAATACTGTACGGTAGTTTGAATTTTTTTATTTATATTAACATTAGGTTTGCTCCAAAGTTACTAAACCAACATGAAAAAAGTCCACTTTTGGTATGTCAGTAAAATGCATGAAATTTAAAAAAACATTTGCTGTAGATGTTAGTAATATGTCATGATCTATATTTTTAGGGATTCTAGCAAGCAGAATTCCAGTGAAGATGCAGAGGCAGCACCGTCAAAGAATAAGGAAGTAAGTTTTTATAACTTGAATTAAACAATCTGTAATTTTTTGAATCTCATTAAGAATACAGTAGTTCGACTATAAAAATTTTTGTTTTTATAAATTACCTAACACCACCCTAATTACAGGTGGGCAGCAGCAGGACCACTGTACATACTGCATGTTGCTTTTTCATTGCTCACCCCTTTTATCCCATACAGTTCTAGGTAAAGTCATACTCAGTCTTTTGTTCCCTTGTAAGTAACTTTTATAGCTACATTATTCATGGGAGTTCAGAGTTGCTTATAGGTTAACAGCCATAATAATTGAAGAACAGAATGATGACCTTTGGCTATCACTGCTTTCCTTTTGTTCCTCTGAAATTTGATTACCTTCCTATGCACAGCACAGAAGTATCACTTTAAGTTGAGTAAAGCTAATATCACAACACAGAAAAGCTAATATTACACACACAGCTGATATAATAAACATATGCACAAACATCTTCATTTCAGATATTTACTACTAGATGTTAAGTTATGGGTGGGGACCAATAAGAGCTAAGAAAACCATAAACACAGACAGGACACAAATTTCATCTGAGGGTCATTGAATGGCATGTTTTTCCATGGCAGTCCTATTAGGGTATGTGTTGTGTAGCAATCTTATAATTTCTTACATTATCAGTTTAGAAATATAATAAAACAAAATGTGGTGGTCTGCTCAAGTGGTATGGATATGCTGAGGGAATGAAAAGTGAAAGATAGATAATAGGAATGTATATTTCAGAGATGGATGGTGGGAGGAAAGGGGGAATGACCAGGGAGGTGAGAGGATGGGATGAATGACACTAGGGAAAAGGGGAGATGGAGATGCAGGATGCAGCATTGTGCATGTATGAACAGAGAACCTGGCTTGTGTAAATTTTTAGGGCATTATATATGATGTGATTTGTGATAATGTTGGCTGTTTGTGGAGAATCTAAGTTTATTTTTTCACCATAAAACTAGTGGGACATTATTTTTTTTAAACAATGATTTTTTTAAGAACTACGAATTAATTCCTTTTTGTATTGCCATTCCCTATGTATCTGTTCATCCTATGTTTTCATACATACAAGACTTATAATAATACCATATATACCTTGAACTTCTGGTTTGTTTCAGTATTCATTCTTTCACTCCTGGAGTCATATCTCAGGAATGTGTATTGGCTGCATTCATTAAAGTGACAAAGCTAAGTGTTACGCTTAAACGTAAAAAAGGTTAATAGTCGTTATAAGTACTTTTAGAGTTCTGCATTTTTATTAGCTCGTCTGTTTTTAAAGAAAATACAGCAATTGTCATGACCTTGGTGTCTCTTTGTAATTGTCTGATTAAATTTATACATTTAGCTTAGTAACCTTTAGCAGACGAGGAGTTTTATTCACCAGCAGTCCTTTTTTTATCTTTCTGTTAACAGGAAAGTATTTGCATTGTTATTTAATTATAAATTTTATGCTTGTGTTGATTCCTTTTTAAATTAATCCATTGATAGATATCTTCAAATCCATACAGAGAGAAAAGGATCCATGTGGCATATTCATCTTCTTCAAAAACATCATCACAGCTAACCCTGCTGCTAAGTTGCTGGTTGTTGGTAAAAGTGCCACGCAGATTAGATTTGGGAGGTAAGTCAGCATAATACAAGGTGATCTAGTACCTTATTTTAGTGTATTGTCATGGAGGTGGGCCTGCTAACCATACACCTACAAGTACATTCATTGCCTTCCTCTCCGTGAGACATGGCCGAGTAACCATTTGTAAGTCGAACACAAAATATATGAAATGTGAGTGTGTCAGTCTTGTATCACATATGAATGAGGTAGGTTAGTTGTTTTTCACTCTTTGCAATAATATATTTTTGGGGAACTAGTGGGTTTTTATCATCCGCCTTTAAGAATAGAGGTAAATGAGTGTTTTTATAAATTGTGTGTGTGGTGGGGGAGACATTTTTCATGCAGGCCTTTAAAGCCATTTTCTGTAGATTTGTGATATTTTATATATACATTCACTGATAATAGAGCGTTTATCTCCACTTGGTAGTTATTCCCCATTGACTTTGAAAACATTGATATTAAAATTCTTTATAACAACCTATAAGGAAATAAAATTACATATATTACTGTGTATTCATCAGTGCTACAGCAACAGTGAAGTGTAAGTAGGTTAAGGAAACATTCTTTTATGTTTCATTTCCTTGGTAATGTTTATCTTGCAATATAGTATTTATGGTTTTGTCTTTATATACTGCAGTTTATTATAGGTCTGCCTATAAATCACCTCATTATGCTAGACTGCAAATGATCGAAACCTCTACCACCAATGTTAAAATACAGTAGTGTACACTTTAGTTCACTCTGAATACTGTAGTCGAAGCCACAGTTGTAATGACTGTGAATGTTGAGTCCCACCTGTAATAAACTATTTTAAATTCTTTTATAACTTTTCATCTAGTGTAATGCGGCTGGATTCAAGAGTAATAACAAATTTTCTCCTAATTTGCTTTTAATCATTCACTCTTAACAACTTTGACATCCCAATAAACGATTCAACATCATGCTCTCCTCTTATTTACATGTACATTAATATTAATGAGCTTATTTTCTCTTCCAGGATGTGTCATATGAATTTTGCAACAAAAAATGAAGCAGAGGAGATGAAAAAGCTATTATCAGAAATGGATTTTGATGGACTGACACCACATGTTGATTCTGCATATAAACACCGAACCAGGTTATTAGTGATCTTGCTTCCTCTTTCCATTCTGATATCCTGTACTGTACTGATGTTATATGTTTGTAAGATAATAGTGAAATGAAGGATTACTGTGTTGGAGGTAGAAATATTACCAGATTTTTTTTTTTTCCTAGGGATGCTGGGAAGCCAGAGAAACGGGACCAGGACGAGGATGTTGAAGTACCTCCATCCAAAAAGAATAAAGTAAGAAATTATTTTGCCTGTTTAATAAGATAAGTTTATAACCAAAAGAAAAAAGTTAATTACAGCTGGTAATACTGTACTAGAAACTTCCAACATAAGAAACACAAGTTTAATCTTCTGACTAAGTAAGGTTGATGAGCTTTGTGTTCTGTCTGCTGTGGTCTACTCTGAGCTGATTACTTGTCAGGGTGAGGGCTTAGATTTTTAGTGAGTAAACCTACAGTATTTCTCTTCCTCACTTTACATTTCTAACATTATCTTATTCACTTATTGGCTGCAGGGAGATAGTTCTATTCACTTCTCATCCTTCAACAGATGTCTTGTCTGTTTCATTTTGTGCATTACCCATACAGTCAACCCTCGCTTTACGCAGTCCCACTTTACGCGTTTACGCGGTACCCTGCCGAAACCGGAATGCTCACTTTCCGCGGTGTGTGTACCCTTTTACGCGGAGAGCGGCGCGAGCAGTGTGCGCACAAGGTCGCCCAGTCATCAAAACATTACCGAGTTCTTCACCCGCCACCCACCACAGCCGGCCCAAGTCAGTGATAGTGATAATGATAGTGAGGATATGGACTTTGAGGGGTTTGACAAAGAGGCCCTGCAAACCTCTGTGGTGGATAGTGATACAATTGATACAAGTGATACAGGTGAGGGCCAATAATCTGCACTCTGCCTCGGAACCAACCCCCCATCCCTGTGTGCCCAGCCATCTTTTCTACCAATGTAAGTGTTAAAAAACTTAATATTATTGATATTTCTCTTAATTATTAATTGTGTGTGCATACCATCATAAAATTAAGAAGTTATTTTTACTACAACGTAGGTATTGTGTCTGAAAAAGTGGAGTTTGGGGGTCGGCCCGGTCTCTATTTCAATTAATCCCATATGTTATGTTGTTCACTTTACGCGTTTCTCACTTTACGCGGGCCGCCGTAGGTTGAATTAACCGCGTAAAGTGAGGATTCACTGTATAAAAAAATATGGCTGGGTGCTAAAGCTAACACCCATCATAATGTTTCCCATGATTTAGTGTTGGATACCATTTATATAATTATATATATATATATATATATATATATATATATATATATATATATATATATATATATATATATATATATATATATATATATATATATATATATATATATATATATATATATATATACAGTACTCCCTCTTTATCGACGGGGGTTACGTTCTGTAAACGGCCGTCGATAAAGAAACCGTCGATACCGTGATGGTTACGTAATTTTTCTAACTATTATTAGCATATGTTGAATAAATGTACCTTTAAGCATTAATGCGTTTCCTTTACGCATAACCTTAAATAATAGTGTATAAATAATAATATAATAAGTGGACAAAAATACTAGCAAACTTACGATTTCATTTATTGAAGTGAACATCGGTCCTTACAGTAAACAATACAGTGTACAGTATATACAAGTGTGATGATTGAGGCTTATTAAAAGCCTGACCAGTCAGATGAGTATGATGAGTCAAGGTCTGCATCTTCTTGAGCCAAAATAAAAATCCGTCTAAATAATCCGTTGATAATCGAAACCGTCGATAAAGAGGGAGTACTGTACTTGTATGTATGTATATATATATATATATATATATATATATATATATATATATATATATATATATATATATATATATATATATATATATATATATATATATATATATATATAAATATCATGTAGATCCACAATGAAAACGTGGATAAGATAAATCTTGATAAAATCACACGGGAAAAGGGAAACAACGGAGCACCTTAGCTAAGGTGCTCCGTTGTTTGATTGCTCGTTTTAAAGTGGCAGCGTGGTGGCCTGTTGTGTGTAAGCAGTATGCGTAATGCACATCGCGGGTACACAAAAGCCAGCAAAAAAAATTGAGTTTTAAGTCTGAATTCTCGGGTGGTCGGTTCTGGCATCCGGATTTTGGACTTTTACTGTATCATTAATACTTGTAATAAAAACAATAAATTAGTAAAAAAATTAAATAATGTTAGATTTGTAGGAGTTTAATTTAGTTGCAGCTTCTCATTTATAGGATAAAACCGTTAGTTATAGGAATATTCGTAGTAGGATCCGTTCGTTATAGCATACCCCACTGTACCTGGATCCAACCTACAGTGATTTACGCATATATATATATATATATATATATATATATATATATATATATATATAATATATATATATATATATATATATATATATATATATATATATATACATACATACATATAAATATATATACACTAGACCCCGACTTACGACTCATTGGACTTCTGACGCCTCAGATATAGATAAAAAAAAATATATTGTTTTTAAATGACACACGCATTTTCTATACGAAACGTTTCCAGTTAATGTAGTCTCCATGTATAATTAGAAATTATGGGGGCCCCATGTGCATTCAGCTGACTACATTAAAGGTTAAGTGCTCCAGTCACACTGTATCCATTCCTTATTATTTATTACTTTCACTGTACTGTATCCATTCATCATTATTCATTACTTTTACTGAACTGTATTTCATTGTAGATTTAAAAAAATTATTATTTTTTTTTTTTTTTTTATCTATGTCGGACTCTGACCATGTCGGACTTCGACCTGGATTTGGAGTCCTAACCCGTCGTAAGTGAGTCTGGAGTGTGATAATATATATATATATATATATATATATATATATATATATATATATATATATATATATTTATTTATTTATTTATTTATTTATATATATATATATATATATATATATATATATATATATATATATATATATATATATATATATATATATATATATATATATATATATATATATATATATATATATATATATATATATATATATATATATATATATATATATATATATATATATATATTATATCACACACACACACACAGTCAACCCCTCACTTTACTGGTTAATTCAACCCACAGGGTACGCGGAAAGTGAGAAACTCATAAAAGTGAACAACATAACATATGGGATTAATTGAAATAGAGACGGGCCGACCCCCAAACTCCACTTTTTGACAACACACAACTATGTTGTAGTAAAAATATTATCTTAATTTTATGATGGTATGCACACACAATTAATAATTAAGAGAAATATCAATAATGTTAGGTTTTTAACACATCAGTAGAAAAGATGGCTGGGCACAGGGGGATGGGGGTTGGTTCGAGGCAGAGGGCAGATTATGGCCCTCACCTGTATCACTTGTATCAATTGTATCACTATCCACCACAGAGGCTTGCAGGGCCTCTTTGTCAAACCCCTCAAAGTCCATATAAGTCCATATCCTCACTATAATTATCACTATCACTGACTTGGGCGGCTGTGTGGGTGGCGGGTGAAAGAACTTGTTAATGTTTTGATGACTGGGCGACCTTATGCGCACCTGCTTTCGCCGCTTACACAACATGGCGGGAGGTTTGGATCAAAAATGGCGCGGCTCAGCCAGCCGCTCTCCACATAAAGGGGTACAGCACTCGAAATGTGAGCATTCGGTTGACCAGGAGTACCAGCGTAAGCGTGAGCAGCGGAATGTGGGACCAGTAAGCGAGGGTTGACTGTGTGTGTGTATATATATATATATATATATATATATATATATATATATATATATATATATATATATATATATATATATATATATATATATATATATATATATATATATATATATATATATATATATATATATATATATATATATATATATATATATATATATGTGCAAGTAAATCACATGTAGGTTTGGCGTGATCTAGTATATGCTGATAACCAAAGGAAGAAGAAACCACGAAGTTCCCAAGCGTTTGGAATTCATCTTCAGGGGTGAGTACAGACTAGTCTGTACTCACCTGAATATGAGTGGTCAATTATCACTTATATATATATATATATATATATTTCATGTAAATCCCAATGAAAACATGGATAAGATAAATCTTGATAAAATCACGGGAAAATGGAAACAGCGGTGTACCTTAGCTTCGTCTTTATTCAAGACATCTTCAGAGGGAACTGGATTACATGGACAGAGAGCTAAATATACAGGGGTGACCTAAAACATGAGGTCAGGTCATAATGATGACATCCACTAATCCCACACCAACACCACGTAGAGGAGCTTAGAAGGGTGATGGCGTGACTAGACAGGTCAGGTCAGAAAAAGGGACCCACAAAATAACTATCATACATCAAGATCAAAGGTTTTCAAAGCATTTTTAACCTTGGGCCACTGACAAATAAATTTATGTAACATATTATCAGTTTTGAACTGACCATCACTAAGGTTTATTGATTTTAATTCCTAATCAAACTAGCTTCAACCAGAAGTCTTTCTGTGACACAAGATGATTTGAATACTTCTAAGCTTTTTCCCAAGCAATGGGGTGATTATTATTCCTAACATGAACAGACAAGGCACTGCTTTCAGATGCAGTTCTGATATTATACTTATGTTGTTTGATTCTGAGCTGCAGTGTTTTCCTGTCTGACCTACATAATTACAATTACATTTGCTACATGGAATACAATAAACACTTCCATTTACATTCAAACTTGGGCTATTCCTTATTAACATATTGGTAATGGTTGAGTCATACTTGAAAACAACATTAATATTTAGAAGCTTGAGGGACGAACTAAAGGGACAAATTCATCACGATAGGGCAGAGTCAAAATATTCTTAAGTGTAGGAACTTGTCTGGTTTGAGAGGAATGAAAGGATTTTTTAGCCCTTTTAAAAGCAACGATCAACAAACACAGAAGGGTACCCAAGTTTCTGTGCAATAGAACGAATGTGTTTAAATTCATCGTCAATAAATTCAGAGTCACAAATACGCCAGACATCTTAGGAACATAGCAGAAAAAACTGACATTTTGGTAGACTCAAGGTGATTCGATAAAAGTAGATGAAACTGTCTACCTGTGTGGGCTTTCTATATACCTTAAAT